AATTGATCTCAAAGACACATACCTCCATATACATATGCACCCTCAGTTCAAGAAGTACCTTCGGTTCTCCTTTGATGGGCGTTGCTACCAGGTTTGTGTGCTCCCCTTAAGCATCCCCACAGCACCAAGGGTGTTCACCAAACTCATGCTAATCCCAGCTCAGTTAGCCAGGTCACAGTGTTGTCACTCGTATCTAGATGACTGGCTACTAAGGGCGTTAGGTCAGCACTTGGGCCAAGATTCCATGTGATGAATATTCTCGTGAAACTGGTCTGGATTATCAGGATCTGGATCAAATCAGAACTCGTTCCGACGCAGGACCGGGTGTTCTTGGGGGCAAGGTTCTCCCTATCTCAAGACTGTATCGTCAAGGTCCAGAGGACTGTTTCTCAGTTTCTCGAGTCGCCCATTGCCTCAGCAAGAACTTGGCTTCTGTTGCTGGTCAACATGGCGGCAATGGTGGATGTGGTTTGGCATTCACGTCTGAGGATGAGGCCCATACAGCAAGCCTTAGCTCAGCTGTGGTCCCACTCAGAGGGCTACTTGAGACACCCGACTGGTTGATTCCTCACTTGCCGTGGTGGACGGACGTCTGGAACTTATCCAGGGGGCTCCCCCTGGACACCCTGACACCATCCTTCTCGATTCAAACAGACGCCTCCCTCACAGGTTGGGGGTGTCCTGGGCGACCGTTCAGTCTCAGGCCTTTCGTATGAGCAGGAAGTCAGCCTGCACATCAATATGCTAGAATTGAGAGCAGTCCACCGGGTGTTCGAGAGCTTTGTGGAGTTAGTTCGTGGCCATGTGATGCTTCTAGAAATGGACAACCAGATGGCTATGACTTACATCCTGAAGCAAGGCGACACAGTGTCTCAGTCGCTCCTTCAGGAGGCGTGGCAGTTTCTACTATGGTGCAACCAGTTCAACATATGGGGGATTGCCTGTTTATCCCCTGGGGGTAGACAACATTCATCCAGATGCACTCTCACAGCATGTACTAGCCCCACACAAGTGGATGCTAGATCAGGGGATATTCGGGATTATCTCCCAGTTGTTTGGGTCATTCCAGGTGGATCTGTTTGCCTCTGGGGTGACGAACCAGATACTGGTGTTTTGGGATACCAAAAGCCAACAACGCCTTTCAGCTTGAATGGATGGACAGGGTACTGTGGGCATAACCACCAATACCACTGATTTCCAAGGTCCTGTCGCAGCAAGCCACTCAACCAGTCTAACTTCTTGTGCTGCTGCCACCTGTTTGGTCTGCTCAAAGTTGGTTTCCGGTAATTCCCAGGTTTCTGGCTCAGCCTCCTCTACTATTACCCTTTTGACTGGACCTACCATCCCAGAACGGAACGCCCTATCCGAATCCCAGGATTCAGTAGGTGGCTTGGCCGCTGTCCGGAATAGCCTCCAAGTGAGAGTAATTCCTGCATCAGTTGCAGACACAATTCTGGCTTTGCTGAGGGAATTTACAAACGTTCAGTATGAGGATAGATGGGCCTGTTATTCACGCTGGTGTGTCAGCAGAGGGATTCTTGATCACTTTTCTGCAGATTTAGTCTCAGTATTAGGATTCCTCCAGTCTTGGTTGGAAGCCAGTCTTGCGGGACCAACTGTTCGAGGATATTCTATGGCTATATCAGCTTTTCACATTCCTGTTGACGGTGCACTCTTGGGGCAGCACCCTCTTGTTCAGCGCTTTTTAGCAGGCATTTACAGAGTCCGTCCAGCTGTACAAAGGATTAGTCCCCTGTGGGACTTGTCAATCATTCTTGATTGGCTGTCCGGTCCACTTTTTCATAATATATCAGCTCTTTCCCTCCAGCTTTCTTGTAACGGTGACATCTGGCAGGCGGGTAGGTGATATTCACACATTTGATTTTCATAAAGACAGGGTCAGCATTCGTTTGACAGATACTTAACGTCCTGAGACACCTTTCATGTAACAGCGCGCAGTACCTCTCTACGACGTGCTCACATCATAGAAGACTCTCAAGGCTTATATCAAACGAACAAAGGATATCAGTAAGGATAATCAATTGTTTTGTTGTTATGGTGGGGTAAGGTTGGTCTTCCGGTGAACAAGCAGATCATCTCTTGGTGGCTTGTCTCTGCCATTTTTATGGGTTATACTCATAAAGGTCATATACCTCCCGAAGGTCTGAAGGCTCATTCGGAGCCGACCGAGTACGTTCATGTATCACAATGACAGACACTCCAGCGAGCGAGCTGAGTTCAGTCATTTGGTTCTCACCAGTGGGCAGGGTCCTAACTCTCTAGCCGATTGAGCTTTCAAGTTTTTTCACTATCTGCCTTATTTATATTGGTGACTGGTTTTAAGAAAACTTCTACCCTTTTCCCTGATGTCAGGTTTATTTTGGTGTTTTTTTTATCCCAGTTTTCATGCATTACTATGTACTGCACTCGAACATTTTTTCCCTTGGAAATCTTCGCTATTCTGGGATGTATTGTCAGCTTTTCCTTATCTTTGCTTCTCATAAATTGAGGGGAGCTGTGGGGGGTGAATTTCTAGTAAGCTACATGTGTATTCTTTCCCTCTGTGAGCTAGTATGTTCAAACCCTGACCCTAGTTCACGTCTTCACCCGATTGGCTGTGGTGGACACGTGACCAGGTAAGTGAGAATTTTTATTCAATTTATAGTTTTGGAATTCCTCTTGTTTTACTAGACAGAATGCCACTCCCTAGACTCAGTCTTTAGGAGTCTTATGCTTATATGTACCCCAAGGGAGATCTCTATGAAAAAGAATGGAAACAAACCTGTAGAGTTCTTTGATGGGCATTTTTAGAAGTTGAGTTGATGAATTATATTGACAATTATTATGGATATACAACTTCTTTTATTCTGTGGAGGCGACGTTTCGACATAGATTCTAATCTCGCATCACTTGCATCACTCGCATCAATTTTGTGCCTATTTTATACATCTGTGCTACGCTACCAAAGTTCGTACTCATGTCCTCCCCAAAGAGGTCATGTTCAGCAGAAGAGTACTGCTAGATGTGTGGAGGTGTGTGGTCCTGTGCATAGAGCTCAGGTCACGAATCAGTTAAGCAACGTTGAGCGCCGAGAGTACTTGGATGGGTGACCGTGAGCTTGACTCCTGAGAGTTTCTAGGACTTTAGTCCTGCCCCACAACGAAGCACATGTGATACATTTGGTCTCAAGTTTGGCAAGTGAGTTTGTTCAAAACTGCCTCTGTTCACTCAGCAGAAAATGGGTACCTGGTCGGATAAGTCATGTGACTATAGCCTTCTAGCGCTTCACAGGCAGCATAGTTCATCTGGGGTAATAACAGTCAGATTGCGATTATCCGCTTTGAGAATGCTTAGGCATGGATATATGCATGGTACAAATATGCTATTATTATGTTTTACAGATTGAAATATAAATGCAGCAGAGAGGGTTCAGATTATGTTTTACAGATTAAAGATGAAAATGCAGCAGAGAGGGTTCGGTTGATCCTGGCACAGTCAGGCTGGTAAGGCTCATCATCAGCTCAGGGGCCTCGCCCCCTCTACACGCATCCCAGACAGCGAAGGGACTTCTCCCAGGAAACGCTGCCTATAGTCGAACCCACCAAGAACTTTCCGGAGAATATTAAGGCTCCCCAACACTACAGCCTTCTGCATTACCCAAAATGTCAGAAGGGCTGTACTCCCGGTGGAGAACCCAGGCACTCTCCTGATCTGCGCCAAGAGATCAGGAGGTACCAAACCAAGGACACCGAGAACAATGGGGAGCCTGACGACAGTGTACTTGGGATGCAAGCGAGACATTTCAAAAGCGAGGTTCGCATACTTAGTATGCTTTTCCTGAATCTTGCCAATCACATTGGTGTCTAAAGGGACAGAAATTTCAATGATATATATTATTATTATTATTATTATTATTATTAGATCATCATCCTTTTTAGTAAACACTTTGTTAGAAAGAGCAATGTGCAATATGTAATGCATGATAAGTATATACAATATACATAATACTCTAAATTGTACATATTCCTGTACATTGTTGGTGAGATGTTGTGCCACATTTGTTCAAGGCATCTTGATAAGATAACAAATTTTGCAGTGACCATTCTAGAGAATGCAAAATATCTTTAGTACCTTAATCCCTTCATAAACATCTCTTCTGAAACTACTAGAAATTAATCTGAAACTTTGACAATGATGACAATGACAATACTTTTTTACCCCAAGGGTCACATAATTAAATATTAAAATGACATAAAGGTTAGGAAAACACAAAACAACACAATAGACAGACAAAGTTAACAGCCATTTAAAAGGCGAATACTTGCTGGAACAAAAGAATTTTAAAACTCTTTTTGTTTTAAAACGGAGCATTTGGTATCGGCGGCCTGAAGGTAGAAGATTATATTCAGAAAATCAAGCATGACTGGAATCAGATAAAATTCTCTCAGCGAGGTTAAGAACACGGAAATTAAAAAGACAAAATAAATACTTGTCTACACAAGTTATGACACCTGATTTGTTTTCAGTAGGGCCAAGTTAGAAGTTCCCAGCTCTTTTTTATCAAGTGTTTCAACATACATAGAACAAATTGCATATCAGTAAAAATATGTGTTGTGGACATCAGATAATGTCATACAGTGTACCTACAAACGTAAGGCATTTGAACATATGTTTTCACTGTGACAAGTATCTGGTCTCAAGTTGTTTGCAGTTATGATTGGACATGTAGATGTGTTTCCTCACCAAAGAGAATAAATCATATTTAGAATCAGTCTCACAAAAAACTGTTAACATCAAATTATTCCTAACTGTCAGATAAGGTGTCACATGACTGTCCGCTCAGCCAATGATCAAGATGTTTATTGTGTAATTTGTACATACAGAAAAAATTGAAATATGATCTGTTACTTTACTTCATGATGTGTTCGTCTTCAAAAAGTGCATAGTCGACAGAAACCTGTATCATAATGTTTCTTTTGACAACATAGTTTTCTATACAGATGTTGTTAGAGCCTACAAAGGACTTGTTAAAGAAAAAGAAGCTCTTGAGGCAAGCTTGAAGGTTCTGTCTGTTGCCCCAAGAACGTGTGGTGATCCTCGTGACTTCAGTGAGCCCCTCCAATCTGGCCAGATTGCAGCTGACCAGGGAAGCAGTGTGAGTACTCCTTTTTAACATGTTTAAACTCACTTGACTAATATCATGCCCTGTCTGTTGATGATCTGGCAAATTGTGTCCAGGGTGGACATCTCCTTAGAAACTTCCCACTACCACATTTATTCTGTTAACATGCCTGGATAATTTCATTCCATATAATTAAACCTCATATTTTTCCATAACCTGACTCATACTAATTGTAATTGCTTATCTCTTCATTCTCCCAAAATGTAAATGATTTCTTCCACGAAAGCGAGATGGGGTCGAAGTGATAATATTGTGCGATAAATTTCTTGCTACATTGACATGGTTAACATCCACACTTCCTGTGCCAAAAAGTCCGTTTGAAGGTGGAAGGATTTGCTGTTAACTATACAGGAAGTGTACCAGAGGCAGAACCCACCTAATCTGGCAATGATGTAAAAGTTTCCCGGGAATTATCAAACAATAGCTTTCGTTGTTTATAATTCTAAGAGTTCAACTTCTATTGCATCAGAAGTCATCTAGGCAAGAGATGACAAGACCCGGAAGTCAAAACAAAATAAAGCCAGCCAAGGGAGGCAACTCTGAAGCGCTATCAAAAGGGCGTGCCGCTACAAATACTATTGCCATTGAACGTATATAATGCGAGATGCAAGCCAAAACCCCTACTAAAAACGTTAAACATATTAACTATCACTTAATCAAAGTGATATTACAAATTACAAAAAAAAACACTCTCGTAACAATATATATTTTGTTATGAACTGTTTTTTTCTGTAAAATATGTTCATTTCAGAGACAGTTGTGTGTCTAGCGTTGAGATACAAATGGCATATATCTAATTTTCATCGCATACACACATACTGAGGCAAATTGTGTTGCTTAACACGGGGTGTCAAAAGTAAAGTTGACAGACTATAGTTCTGAACAGTTGACAGCAAAGAGGACTTCTGTTGATAATCTAAAGGTTTGATTTTGTGTGATTGCAGCCAACATACAGAATTTATTGCTATGGTGTAATAGAGACAGAAGTTTCAATGCCTATTATGAGTTAATGAACAGATACATAATGATTCATGTACATAGCTCATGGGTCACAAGTTAAATTGCATTGATTTGTGTATTTTAATGTGTTGTGTACTTATAATATGTTGTGTACATATAATATGTTGTGTACTTATAATATGTTGTGTACTTATAATGTGTTGTGCACTTATAATGTGTTGTGCACTTATAATATGTTGTGTGCTTATAATGTGTTGTGCACTTATAATATGTTGTGTACTTATAATGTGTTGTGTTGTGTACTTATAATGTGTTGTGCACTTATAATGTGTTGTGCACTTATAATATGTTGCAGGTCAGAGGAGAAAGTCAGGATGAGGCAAGACAGATCCACACTTTGTCCTCCTCTCTTGCAACTCTCACTGAGGAGAAGTCTCGTCTGGAGGCAAGCTTCCTTGAAGACAAGAAAAAAATGAGGGTACCTATATCGTTTATAACATTCAAACACTTAGTTTACTTCACATGAGCTTGTATAATATTCCAGCTTTTCTGTCCTGTAACTCAAACTTTACATGTGGGGAAAATGGTTTAAATAACAAATGAACTTATGTTTTTTGTACTCTTTTAACCATTACATATGAAAGACTTGTGGTTAGTTTTAAGCGGAACACCAAATTCATTCTTAAAAAACTTGTGTTTGATTAATACCGAGCGATTAAAAATTGCCAAAAAGTCTTCTGCTTCACACGTAACTCTGTTGCCAGCAATCCGGAAGTGACGTTATGTGAGGAAGGATTTTCAGTTAGTTGTATATAAAGTGTGTAACAAGCTTGTCATTTTGCTGATTTCTCGACGTCAACGAAGACATGCCGAATCGTTGCATTGCCGGAAGTTGCTCCCAGGGTCGGGTGATGGTGTGCACAGATTTCCACCGGACCCCGCAGTTCATGCTAAATGGGTTATGTTTGTGTTGTGGAAGCCTGGAACGATATCTTAAAGTTTATTGCATTACAGTATGCTGTTTTGTAAATGAATAACAAAGGAAAACATTTGTTGTGAATGAAAGTGTGTGTAGATTTTCATTTAAACCATAAAGATAATCACAAAAACTTCTTTGCCCATACCAGTTCTCGGAAAAAATATTGCAGTACGTATTGTTTGAAAGTGTATTGCGGTATACCGGTAATACCATGTAGTCCTAGTTGACTGTGGTGACATTTCACGCATGTACAGCATGTGGCCATATTATTATGTACAATTGTTACGGCGTTGATATCGTGTATAGCAATGCCCGTTTTTAGAATACTGCTACTCAAAAACGACACTGCGTATCGTCGTAATATTTTGTCACATGATCGATCATGATGTCAAGTGACTCTATTTTTAATCCATTTGTCATCTGCTACATATTCTGGCTATTTCCAGCAATAATGAGGAAATCAGCTGATTTGACAGAGCCACTTAAGAAATTAATTGTAAAAAGGTTTCAAAGTGGAGAAAAATGTTCTAACATTGCAAGATTTTGGAATGCCTTGAAGCAGTGTATATTCGGTGGTAAAGCAGTTTAATCAACATGTATCAGTCTCAGAACCGGCCGTATGAGAAAACTGTTTCCTTGGGACAATTGACAACTTTTGAGGTTGGTCAGAGACAATAGGATTTCATCTTTGGGTGAAATAACTGAGAAGATGAACAACAATAGGGCTACACGTTTATCGGTGAGAACTGTAAAGAGATGATTATATGAAAATAAATTTCATAGACGTGTTGTTAAAAGGAAAATCCAATTCGTGACTATAATGTCAGAAATCGTTTGGCCTGGGCAAGGGGACAGCAATATCGTACAGTGAATAATTACTGGAATCGAGTAATCTTCTCTGACGAGTGTAAAATTATCATTGGGGAAAACAATTGTGTTTTTGTTTGGAAACAGCCCGGTGAAGAATACCTCCCGCAATGACTTTGTCTGGGACGACAACCACGCGTCAATTTGATGGTGTGGGGTTTTATCACCTGGCATGGCGTTGGTACCATTTGTGTTGTTAATGGCAACATAAATGCTGAGAAATACACAGAAATCCTCGATGATATGCTTTGGCCTGTTATAGCCAGACATTTTCCGGGAAACCGGTACATCTTCCAAGATGACAACGCCCCTGTACACAGGGCCCGTGTCGTTCAGGATTACAAGCGACAAAATGACATTGGAATGTTGTGGCCTGCACAGAGTCCAGATGCAATTATTTTTGAGAACTGTTGGCTCTACCTGAAGAATAGACTTCAGGGACACCGAAGAAACATTCAGTCAGCTGCCGACTTGGAACGAGAAGTGTGGGACATCAGGGAAAATACCGGTATTCCCCTCGATTTCATCAGAAATCTTTATTCATCGATTCCAAGGCGGATGTTGAAAATAATAAGGAACAAGGGACACCCCACAAAATTTTGAGGTAAGACTGTTTATATTTAACTAGTTATGACACTTTGAACTCCCGTGTAAATTTGTCGTCAACAATCGGTCCACCATGTTTGTGCGTAATAATATGGCCACCTGCTGTATACTACACCTACAATCCACCTACAATGTTACTGTATCGGGTTTGGGATCTGTAAGTGAAAATATTGATGGTTGTGACTGATGATCCGAAGATGCTGGCCGACATGACAACCCTGATTATACTCTAACTGAGCAGTCCTGTTCTGTGAGGAGCATCCTTGTTTAGATGAGGGTATCGATCTTGAGACTGATGATGATGATGATGCCACCAATAATAGTTGCATCTCCTTCGAGTCTCGTGGTGATGGTTTGGCAAATGCTCTCATCATTCTTAATGTTGACATCCATGAAGATCTGTGTTCAAATTAGTACTCTGAACCTGCTGTGAGAGATGACAAACTGACACATGTCTGCACATGTCTGGTTGTGGTGTCAATAACACAAAAACAAACTTCTTGTTTGATTTGTGTAGATTCAATGTAAGTGTAACAGTACATCACATTGGTTTACTGTAGCCTCGTAGAAAGTTGAAACATGACATGGGTTAGGTAACTTTTTCTAAAGCAAGATGAGGTCACTTGGAGCAGTAGACATGATCTGAACAAAAGCTTGAGTGTCAGCCTGAGAGAAACAGAAATGCTTCAAAAAATGTGAGAGGCAGCCCTTTGTTATGGCCAGAAGTGAGCTGTTGCTGTGTAGCTTTGCAGGTTGCTTTGGAGGTCTGAAACGGCCTCTGCCTCCAAAAACTTTGGAACATCTTGGTTTTTCATGTCAAAGGACAAAATCAGTTCAACCATCTCGTGCCCATCTGTGCAGATGAGGATACCAGCAAACTCCAGTATTGCAGGTTGTATCATGTACATACAGCAATAAATATTTCAAGCTTTTTCATTGAGGTTGATTCTTCCATCAGGTTCCAAGATGAGTTTCTAAAACGAGGGTATACATACTCATACTGTAGAGACCTATGCATATGTCTTGGAAGTTACCATTAGGTGTGCCCATCTACACAAATGTTATACCAATCTTCTTCCTGCTCATCTCTTGTCTTTTTACAAGTCATGTCTCAGCAGTTGGTCAAAGACTTGTTGCAGTATTGTTGATCGTTTCTTTTCTTCTTCTCAACTTACCCATTCACTACGGTTGTGGTTTATAGGTAAGATGAAATATACTGTAAATCATGAAATTAATACGTCATGAATTTAATGCTAGTGCAAGGGTCTGGTCTAAAATGTGTCACGAAATTAATGCAAGCTCAGGAATCTGATGATAAAATGTGACACCCTCAATCTTTAATTTTGATGTTGTTCATTTTCTTTTCATACTTGTTATTTACCAAATAACCTGAATTGTTGAGCAATAAATGGAAATGAGCTGACGATGTTTTGATTACGCTGCCATGTTTGATCATGACAAACATTTATAAAAGTAATCCAACTTGAAAGGGTGAACAAAGATCGCGAAATAATCCTGCGTGGTTGGAGAATGTCCGGTCTGGCTCATGTGCTTGAGTGACTTTAAACAATGACCAATAATTTTAACCAGTGATAATTACTTGTGGCTTGAGATACCTGTAATGAGAAGTGACCTATATTTGTGTAATGTGTAGTGTCAACATTTCCACTATTGTTGCATAATGTGCTTTGACAAGGCAAGGAGGCCACACCCCATCTGTGTATCTGTGTACAGGTTTGAACCCCAGCCTTTAACTAAGGTAATGAAATTACTGGGGTTTTTTTCTTTTGAAACCATGCCACTGGCCACTGGCCACTGTCAGGACTCAGATGTGATTGACCAATAAACATTCTCAAAACTATAAATGTATTATAATATCAAGGAAATACAAATGTTATTAGTATTTTTTTACTACATCATGAAAATTACCAATTATGGTCACAGAAACTGCCGATCATATTGGGTGAACCAGTTCGCAAAAAGTGTACCGCAATATATCGTATTGCGAAGTTTGATTTGTAATATACTGGTTAACCGCTATTATAGCCCACCCCTAATATGTGTGTAGATACCTACAAGGGTGAAGCAACCCCTCAGATTAGGATGCAGTTAGGATAGGATTCACCTGGGTCAAAGCTTATGCTTGTTAAATGGCATGCCAACCTGTGTGAAAAAGTCCACGTTTTCTCTGTCTTAGTGGTGCAACAGGCTTTTTTGATGAAGAAACCCTTACACTAGTTTGTATTTTCAACAATCTAAATACAGTGTTGCATCCAGGCTGCGCTTGCTAGATTCCCCTCGATTAACTTACATCTCCTGCAAAAATTGAAAATCGATGCGCAACTTGTCACTCAATATGAATGACCACATACCTATCATATTGTGTCAACTCACACATCTGCGTAACCTGTGTGTCAGTGTGGACACATTTACATATCGCAAATCAAAAGCGTCTTTGGTAAATATATAAACAAGACCACGAATCTTGTTGATAAACTCTTCCGTTTGTTAAACCAAACCAGTTTCATTATTCTCTCTCTTTTCATGCCAAATACCCAAAGCGGTTTCTTGACCTATATCATTGCTGTGACGGCATCAGAATTACAGTAAATACCTATCTTCAGTCAATATGTGATCCCCCCTGCTTGGTGTCAGGTCCCCCTCTTTTGTAGAAGTTAAGGGGGATGTCCCCCTTAATCCCAAATTCCTGGATGCAACACTGAAATAAGAAATTTGAAAATTAAAACAAAAATGTTTATGTATATATTTTTTCTGTATCACATGCTGAACGCCCACCCAACGGTTACAGTACACCAACCTGTATGCAACAGAAAGAGAATCAGTGTGAAGGTGATCAGGTCACACAGTGTTTTACTGATATGTGACCTAGTGTTAGTGTATACAGAATGGGGTATGGTTCGTTCAGGTGTTTTTGAAGCTGGGAACTTTCTTCCAGGATCATGTTGACACCTGGACTGAAGAAAAAGCATAATATACATAGTATAAGATAGGATAATTATACAAATATGCAATTTTTTCAATTTTAATTTTTGTATTTTTTTTTCGAGATTGTGAAATCAGTCTTTTGCATTATCATGCAGTTTCAAAAACACATAATTGTGATAACTCGAAAAGAAGTTCACATTTATCCCAAGAAAAGACAACACTAATCTGTATCACCTAATTGGAGGGCGGCTATGATGTATCATTTCACGACATCCTCATTTTAAGATCAACAGGAAAGTATCTTCATTTGTATTGTGTCTTAAAAGTTAAAGGGGATGTGTACACAAAAATATCATGTTTTTTCTTATGTGAAACCAAATGAAGTTTTTTAATTAACTGATGTCAGTGCTTGAAAATGCACACTCATTTTTCTTACAATGAAAGAATAACCCTCAAAATAAGTGCTGAAATGTTATGCCATTATGAAACCTTATGAAAACAGGACACAGTGTATTGGCGCTGCAGACATCATCCCAGAGGTTGTCGAGCTACAGCTACAACACAGACTGCTGCCTTAGTGAAGTCAGACCAGAAGCACAACCACCAGATTGACCGCCGTTCTTTTGAAGTTGCCAAAATCGTGAACAAGATGAAGAAAAGAAGCAGGGAAGAAGTGACTCCTGTTTCAGCTATTTACGAAGAAGAGCTTGCAGGTGTGTGGGTTTTCTTTTCACTTCTGAAAATATTATGTAATAACCATGTTTTTGACAGTCCATTAGAAATTAACCATCATATAAAGCTGAAATTGAACTTTTTTTGTTTTTTGTAAATCACCTATAAGTTTATCTTATACTTATGTATCCTTCTTCAATATTTTTTATTGATATTGGCAGGTTATCGCAACAGTGATTGGTCCAACGAGACAGAACAGCTGGTTGCCAGAATGCCCAACTTCGATTCCTGTTCGTCATCCCGCTGCCGAAGCCTTGCCAAACTCCATTCTCCACTGCCCAAGACAAAGACGACATCAACCTGACTGGTGTGTGGCGTGAGATTACAGTTGGAGAGAATTTCATCATTGCTGACGACACCGACATGATCATCCTGGCTACCCCAGATAACCTCCGTCATCTAGCTGCAGCAGATACCTGGTATGGAGATGGTACCTTCAAGTCCTGTCCAAACCTTTTCAAGCAAGTCTACACTATTCATGCCTTCGTCAACGGTGAAATGTTCCCCCTAGTTTATGGATTGCCTCCTGACAAGAAAGAGACAACATACGTTCGGTTTTTTGATAAGATCAAGACGTCATCACCAATGCCTTTGACCCCACATCGTGTTTTCATGGACTTTGAAAACGCAGCTTGGAATGGTGTATCATCAGTGTTCCCAGGTGTCCAGATGAAGGGCTGCTTCTTCCACTTTACGCAACGCCTTACCCGGTTTTCCAGAGACATTACAGAAGTCCACAAATTCATCAGACATGCAGCAGTTTACCGTTTGTGCCATTAGATAGAGTAGACGATGTGTGGGTTCATGCTTTAGAAGACTGACCATCAGAAGTAACCGACATAGATAAGTTTGCGGACTTTGTGACTGAGCAATGGGTTCAGAAAGGTCGACAGACATGGAACCACTTTGACACCCACGATCTGCAGATTCAACTCCAGACTCTGAAGACCAGATATCGATATGGTGAAATTGATGGTTTCATGTTTCATGTTCCTATTTGATAAATGTTGACTTATAAATTATAAGGGTCTAAAGTGTAAGTTCAGATAATAAACTGTAACAGACTATATCAATCTGTATAGAAGTTTGTGTTTATTTAGTACAACTAATCCCTGAGCCCAAAAGTTATAACCATTCCCACATAGCCCAACGTGTTTGTTTATACAACAGAGTAGTTACAGCCAGTTTTGGGCTATGCGGGCATGATCCTTAAACTGGTCTCCTGTCTAGTCCCAAAGCAAAAGTTTTAAATACTGACATGAAAAAGTGTGTAATAATACGAAGAAGCATTACAACCGAAAATGTAAAGAGCAAGATGGAAACAATCATGTGTATTTTCATTCATAACCTCACCTCAATGAAAATACCAAATATGTATAATAATGTTATAAAAATGGCGTGTTCACAGACACAAGTAGTACGCAGGATATTTGTAAGGAAACTTTTGTTGTCTCAAGCAATGTATATGCAATGTGTATAAATGTGGCATGTGAGTAGGCCGAAAGATTCTGAGAATCTGCTGGTTGTTATTTTCTTTTTTATTTGTACATGTATTCATTATGACCAAAGGAAATAGTAAAAAAATTCAAGTGAGGAGAAGCACCATCATTGTTGTGCATTAGTTTGTGTCAGTCATGGCATCAAGCTTACGGAAACTATAATATATTGTGTTGAATCAAGGAAATAATTGGAATACACCTATTTATGTTTAACTATCTCTTGCTACCATACTCTTCTCATGCATTTTCTAAAACGTATGAGCAAGTGTATGCAACAAGTAGATGAACGGATGTCTCACAGTATGAGAAAATGATACAGTGTAAAATCTGAGATTGGCTTTGTTTATGTAGCAGGGTGGTGGCTATACCTCTGACTGAGTTATAGCCAATTAAGTACCACCCTCTCATAATTCCCCACAGTCTTATCATAAACATCTATATATACACATTGTCATCCACATTATCATCATAATCATCATCATTATTTCATGCTGTTTTCATTATATGTTGTCCTTATCTGCAGTTGAATGTCAGCCCACTAACATCTTCAGTCTTGAGTACCCTTATAGCAGCCTCTGATTTCTCCAGCTTCACCTGTGGCCTCCGTGGTGTAGTGGTTAGAGCGTCTGCCTGGAGAGCGGAAGGTCGCGGGTTTGATCCCCGACCGCGTCATACCAAAAGACGTTCAAATAGGGTACTTGTTGGTCCCTGCCTGGCTCTCGGCATGAATGGGAACAACAAGGACTGGTCGGCTCGGAGTCAGTATAATGTGTCTGAGTGGGGTATTCATGCTTCACTGCGGCATGGTATCTCAGTGGGCTAGCACTATAAAACCAGCTTCAGTCTGGGCTAGTACAAGCAGCCGCACATACACATACACACACATGCACATCGTCATATGAGCGAAATATTCTCAAGCACGACGTTAAACCCAATTTCACCTCACCTCCAGCTTCACCTGGACTTCCCCTCTCTATTTTTAGACACTTCCACCACCTAATGTAACTGTCCAGCATCTGACTTCCTTTGACACCTGTCAGATGCTATCTGTATTATGATTGGCCTTTTGGTCCCCCTCTCTGAACTTCCTTTCTCACCTGCCCTCCTCATGCATTCTGCATGAACTCTTATAGGAGGGAGGTTCTCTCTTTTCAGGTGAGAAAGATTTCAGTATTCTTATCTTTCTGTACTCTGTTCTGGAAACAAGCACTATTCATTAAAGGGTATCTCACTACTTCATAATCGTAAAAACATATACTGAGAGAAACAAATAAAGGATCACAGGAACATTCAAGCATTCCTGTATTATTTTCCAGTTCTCATGGCCACAGTGCTATTCAAAGCTGGTTTTGAAAACTGGAAAATATTAATGTCAGAGTGGGGAACATTTTAAATGGTAGCTTGGGTATTCAGAACCACAAGAAGCAAAGAACATTATGCAAGTCATGATCAGCATTGTCAGTCATGGCCTTCTGGAGAGATAACTTGAATGAAAACTCATGTCTGCATTTCTAACTACTTCTCAATTTATATCAAAGGGAAACATCAGTTGCGAACATATACTGAACTACTTTAGAAACATATTGCCAATAATATGTCATTCGAATCGTGGGGTACCTATGCAATTAAAGTATCGTGGTGTCGGGGGTTTTCGTCGATGTAAGACAAAAACGTAAAAAAAATTCTGTAACTGTGCGACTGGGCACCCGCCCTACCAGTGAAACTGCTTGTGCACTCCGATCGCACATGTACTCACCCGATATAGAGCGAGCAATGCAATCGTCGAAATCACCAGAACGTCGAATTCAGCTCGTGTTGGGATACTGCTAGTAAAGAACAACATCAAGTTAAAGAAGAATTATTTAATGAAAACGCAGGTTTCGTTCGAAAGGACGGGGTCAAAAGGAAATCAACAAGAAGATAGGAAACAATCCCAGTAACAGGTATGCCCTCTGTGGGTATTAATGACTGCTTCACATGGACGTCTAAGAGAGAAGTCGACCCATCTCATCAGATCTTGGGGTATCTGTTGCTTGACACTTAATGATGTTTCGAGTTGACTGGTGGGGGTCCCATTGCAGTTCTCCTACTAATTCCATTCCACATGTGTTCAATGGGTGCTAGATCTGGGGAAAGTCTAGCACAGCAATATTTTGTTGAGTAAAAAAGGTCCATAGTGTGCCTCCCTGTGTGTGTTCGGGCATTGTCCTGCTGTATCATGTGTAGACGTAGATGGGTGGTCATATGGGGAAACGGGAGTCTGTAAAACTTCCCTAGTGTAGGCAACAGCCGTGACATGTCCTCTGAAAACATGTAGAGGTGTTCTTGAATGCACACTGATGCTCCCCAAACCATCACACTACCCCCTGTCTCACGCAACAGTTCGCATAACGTTCACCACGACTTCTCCACACACAAACTCAGCTGTCACTGTGACTGACTGATGATGTCTCCGAGCCCACTCCAGATCGATGCTGTCGGTGTCTATGTGTCAAAATAGGGTCGTTGTGAGGATCCCAAGCGGTGAGTCCATGTTGCCATAGACAACGTAATGCGGTTGCCGGACTGACAATGCCCTGTCTCCCTCTAATGCCTGAATCTGTACAGTGGCAGGCAGAAATAAGTAACATCCCCATGCAAAACAAGGGGCCATTTGGCATCTTTAATGGATTGAGAAAAACAGAGAAAATCACTTCATTGTGGCTTAGATTGATGAAAGGGAGACTAATGGAAATGACATCATGGCTACAGCCTGGCCAATTGATCTTTTTCACGCTTTCTCCATCTTGGATCAGAAACAGGTTTGGAGCCATGCAGAATGAGTTGCATCAACTCACTGTGTTTCACAGAAGGGTAATTCAACTGATGACCATATCCTCTTTGGCTAATTGCTAACAGAGTAGATATTTCATAAAATATAAAATGCCATTTAGAAAGTGGTCAAATGTAACATATATTATATTTGGGATTACACTTTCTTAGTAAAGTACAGATTCTAGTACTTTTGTTGGGTTGAGTCCCCTCCGGGATTTGAACAGATATAAAGAAGACTTATTGTGGGATTATAGTTGCTTTGTTCCTTCTCTTTTTGAACATACTGAATATTTAATTTATACCGCCTATCATATGACATTTATGTTCATGTCATCCTTTCAGAAAAATGTTCTTGAACAAGGTTTAAACTGATCATCCATAAAAGCCTACCCTGACATGACCAATTGCAATTTAAGCAAGTGTGCTTTCCATGACCAATAAGTGTTGAAAGAGCCTGAGGATCCCACCATTTGTATGATCATGACTAGACACATTTGTTTGGTGCTCAGCACCATGTTTAGATAAAGCATCACAACTAAACACAATGGAGAACTGTTCAGTGCCATGTCTTGTCACGTGCTTGGTGCAACGTCTACACTTGGTGCAACCGCCACATCTGCCTCTACAAGAATGGTCTGTTCTGCCTGAACTACAAAGACGGAGAACATAGGCCAGTTGCTCTCACATCTATAGCAATGAAGTTGCTGGAACGCATCTTGCTGGGACATCTCCGACAGGAAGTTGCGGACCTGCTGGACCTGCTTCAGTACGCCTACAGGTCAAGGAGAAGAGTTGTTGATGCCACACTGTCACTCCTTAGTAATGTCTATAAAGACACCCAAATCATATCAGGATCCTCTTTGTTGCTCTTCATCTGAGTTTCTACACCATCCAGCCACATATCATGATACAGAAACTGTTAGAAAGAACAAAGAAACCTGTTCCATGTCATGTGTCTTTTAACTGAAGAATACCTTGTTATACTTTCTTACCATTAACTGCAGGAAGAGATACTGATTTGTTTATGCTTAAGTTTGGGATAATTAGAGTTAAAACAATAAAAAGAATTGGTTCTCAGACAATGGCTTTTGAAAAACAGTGTGAATGGACAGCCTTTAAATTGGGCCTCTAAACATAAATTATAAGTACAGTACTGGAGCTTTATCCCTTAATCCAGTTTGAAGCAGCTTGTTGTGATCACCGGCAGGAAGACCAAGGATTCATACAGTTGTAAATCACAGACCTCAACTTAATGTTATCCTACAGTATCCTAGTATATGTACAGTATAAACTATCAAGGCACATACAATATAATCATGCCTAACAACCAGTTAACCAATTGTGTGTTCTTAAATAGCAGAAATGTGTGTGTTTTTCATGGTCTCCTTTGCCATGTGTTGTTTTTAATTCCAGTGAATTAGTTTTAATTTTGTTTACACTATATATTGTACAGTCACAGTATAGACCATGCCACAAATACATATATTGCTTTTAATATCCAACATTATTATTTTATAATACACTCTTTGACTACCAATGTACTCAAGGGTAATATGGTCTGATGTACGCCTGTTTGTAGCAGTGTCACCCGAGCCGATAGGTGAAACATATTCTGACAAGCTCAAAACTGCTATAAAAATGGTTAATTATGTTTAAGCTGAGTGTGCAAACCACTCAATGTATAAAATAGCTTAAATAAAGCAGTGAAAGTTGGTAAAATAAATCTGTACAAAGTGAACACAAAAACAGCTGATTGAACGGTTTTCGAACTCTGGGCATGGCATGCATCATATTATGACGTCATACGATTGTTAGCACTTCATCTTCTCAGTGGAGAGCTTGGTGGTTTTCGTCACAGCGGGTAATATTTTGTCCAGTTGTCACCCTCCTGGGACAGACTCAATGAGTACACTAAAGTACTGTCGGAAATAGAAAAAAACTGTTTTGAGGCTGTCGCTCTGTATCCCTAAAATTGACACAATTGCAAATAGCATATGTCGAAATAACCGACATCGGCCTAACTGGGCGTTCAGTGGGTTGCATAATAGGATATCCAGAAAAGCATGTTTACTTGTAAAATCGGTCAAAACTTAGAAAAAATACGAATGGCTGCTGAAAACAATAGATCAGACTATAGATGGCAATTAGGTCGCTCAACCAGGTATGAAATGCATGTGCTGCCTACAGGCACAAGGGGTCATCTCAATGATATTTTATGTTTTTTTATGTGTGTTGAACAGTGGGTGAGTTTTATGCCACACTCAGCAATATTCCAGCTTTATGGCGGCGGTCTGTAAATAATCGAGTCTGGACCAGACAATCCAGTGATCAGCAGCATGAGCATCGATCTGCGCAATTGGGAACCGATGACATATGTCAACCAAGTCAGCGAGTCTGACCACCCGATCCCGTTACTCACCTCTTACGACAACCCGGACCATCACGGGTCTGTGTGTTGAATATGTTTCATCTATTGATTAACATCTTTCATGTCTTTCTTTCATACAGTTTATGTTGTGATATGTAAAAGAGTATGATACCCATAGAAAAGCTTATATCAGCCATCGTATGAAATGTCTCAAAATATATAGGTGGCATGACCACCAAAAGATCGACAGGATTGGATATTATTCGTAAATTGTTATGACATGCCTTTTTCTTCCCCAGTTTAATTCGCCTAAAGGATTATTTTATCTTAGCTGATATCTTTATTCCCCCAGCCCGACATCAACCACCGTCTGCGACACCCACCCTGGATTTGCTTTTGAGGCGACCCCTCCTACCTGTTTCTTTTTATAGTGATAGTGAGACTCCATGGCAGCTACATCCTTATTAGTTTCAGTGTTAAAGTTATTATTTTTTATAATGAAGCCAAGTTTAATTACATAATGGGCATTTAAAAAGTGTCCTTTGTAATACAATATCATCGCACACTAATTTGCATAAAACCATGGTCTGTTCCAAATAAGTCTCTTTGGACTTAGAAAAAAAACACATTGCTCATTTCTGCACTAATCTCTCCTCAGGAAAAGTAGAAAAAGTACCACTGAGAATGTTGTTAGGCTGAACTTAGTTTAACAGATGTTTCACACTTTCATATATTAACTACATAAATTGTAGATAACAGGTTTTTTCTATTTCCGACAATACTTTATTTTTCCTTATCCTGACTCATGCTCTTTTGCTTGTCCCCTTCCTCTTGCGAATGTTAGTGGAACACTTGTATCTCCTATTGAAGCTCCCTTCAATAAAGAACAGACGTAAAATCCCTACTCACCACGAGTTATCTGTGTGGCCGTTTTGGCTGGAAAGCGGCGCCACCATACTCCCATGCTTCACTCTCTCCTTCTTCGCCCTGTGGGCAGGTTGTGAGAGTGCCTGTGTCTCCTATACGGCACTATATCCTTTAATTACTTTTATAGAGGTTTAGTTAGTATTCTTCAACAATATGGTTTGATATTTAATCGTATTTAGCACTGTTTATTCACGGAATTGTCCGTGTTTGTTCAGTTGTTTACATTTCATGAAAACCTATTTTCGTTGTAGGTTTAGGTTCGCTGCTGCAAACCCGCATTGACTGTGCCCTAGCTGCACAACAACATGTTTTTCCAGCTATAGCTGTAATCTTTATAAGCATTTAACAGTAATTCAATTTAATAAATAATTTTTTCTCTGTACTTAGACGTACTACCGACAAATCCAGGTGACTTTACAAGTCATGGATAAACTGGCTGAGTCCCTCACGAGCTGTCTACTGCTGTCAGACGACTTACTACCATTAAGTAACCGGCTGGAGGTGTCCTCGGAGGATGGGCGTGGGATGTTGTCCACCATTACTTCGAAGACGTTGGCTTCTACATCGGACAACCCCTCGACGCAGACGTAGAAGAAGCCATCCTCTACGCAGAATGAAGCCTCAAAACCCTATGACGCCTAGCAGCTCTACAGGGACTCCTGCGCAGACTACAGGGACCTTTCGGCAGACATCGTCCCGATGGCAGTGAAATGACTTCATGATGAGCCGCTGCTGATCATCCCAGAGATACAGCACGCAGTCCGAGGGCGGCAGATGAGCGATCCCTGGACCATATCGCTATCAACGCAGAGAGGGCAGCTCTACAATCATCGCAGACGAAGAAAAAGAAGCCATCCTCGACCCAGAGAAGGCTACACACCCCTCAGATGACGACCAACTCTACGGGGACGTCTGCGCAGACTACAAGGACTTTCTCGGCCGAGATTGTCCCGATGACGGAAAGATACATCACCAGTAGAAGCGGGCCGAGCAACAGTAACGTCAGCGCAGTTGTCTACGCAGTCCGAGGTATCTACACTGACGGCAGATGAGAGATCCCTGGGCCATATCGCTACCAACGCAGAGAGGGCAGCTTATCTCTCACCGCAGACATTCAAAGCATCGCATGATCAACAACCAGTCTGCAGAACGGACCCGGACCTGGACCTTCGCGGAGGTTCCAACGCAGACAATGCTTCAGAGAGGCCCTCCAGCTACGTGACAACCAGCCTGCGCGAAGGACGACACGCCTATCCCCAGATGCCAAATCAGATGATTAGCATTCGCGAAGGCACTCGCGAAGGACGACACGCCTATCCCCAGATGCCGTATCAGATGATCAGCATTCACGAAGGCACTCGCGGAGGACTTCGGACACAGCCTCAAAGACATCTTCAACATCGCATAGATCGTCAAGGGATTCACCGAGGCATTCGCGAACCAAGAGACGCTCACCTCTGCGCAGGTCTCCCCGCAGGTCGCCTTACAGACGCAGTTCACCCGGCTCCTCTCCGCGCAGGTCTCCACGAAGGTCTTCACGCAGGTCTTCACGCAGATCCCCACCGAAGCAGAGACATCGTAGTACTTAGTCTCTCAACTGAACGCTACATGCCGTCAACAAGCCTGCGCGAAGGCATTCGCGCAGGCCATCTACAACGCAGAGACGCCGCAGTACTTAGATTCTCAGCAGAACGCTACATGCCGTCAACACGCCTGCGTGAAGGCATTCGCGCAGGCCATCTACAACGCAGAGAAACCGCAGTGCTTAGATTCTCAACACAACGCCACATGCCGTCACCGAGCCTGCGCGAAGGCATTCGCACAGGCCATCGCCAACGCAGAGACGTCGCAGTACTTAGCTTCTCAACAGAACGCTACATGTCGTCTACAACCTGCGCACAGGACGGCGCTATCTTCAGAGACTGTCAACAGATGATGAGCCTAATAAAGGATCTTCATACATCAAGGGCATCAACGACGCCTCGCAGATCATCACGGGAATCACAATTTCGGAATATATTGCCAGGAAGACACACAGACATACAGACACACTACGCCGACCACCACGCAGATCGCTACGCAGATCTTCAAGGTTATCCAACAAGGACACGAGGGCAACTGGACCTAGCGTCACCCTAGAAGGGAAAGATCTTCGTCGGCACACAGACTGAAGGGCATGTCATTAAGTTCAAGAGGGGTACTCTTGTCCGAATTCATCACCGGCACGGATCTTCAGACTGAATCCAGGACAGGATTCACATAGATTGATATATCTACTTTAGAAGACTCATGGCCTTATAAAGATCTTCACTTCCGTACAGATCTGCAGATATTCTCACTGGTGTGGTTCAACAGCAGCCTTGCTAAGGCTAGGTAACTACATACTCGTCAGCGATTCCCTGAGTAGAATTTCCAACAAAGTTCAGCATTAATTCTACAATTACGACGCTTCATTGAGATAGATGTATGCAGTCTACAAGAGCAGCTCTGTCAACGTGCAGATTTCAGCTGATCATCTGTATAAAAAGGGCAACGACATTATCTTCAGGACTGAAGTAACAGTCACAGCAGCCAGGAAAACAGCCTACCTACATCGGTATTACGCAGCGAAATATTTCGCGCGTTTACCATTCAACCCTCGATACTCGTGGTCACTCGTGTAACTCCGGAAGGCTACGAACAAGGACTCGGACTCCCGGACAGATTAAATCCATATCCAATAGCATGGACTCAGAGATCAGATGGTCGCAGACGCAACTATTTAGCAGAGCCGGAGTACAAGACGCATCTCTATGTGGACGCATCTCTCCAAGTTTGGGGAGCACACCTCGACAACGATGTGTCAGCTGGGATATGGACCAAAGCAGAGAAGATCTGCACTTCTACATGCTGGAAATGAAAGCAGTGATAAACGCCATACTCCACTGGACCAGCATTTTGAAGAATGCTCATCTGAGGGAACATACAGTCACCTCCACAGTGGCGTTCTACATCCACAGAAGGATCAACAAGGTCGGCGAACCTTCTGGACCTCCGCTTTCAACTGGTCAGCATAACAGTCAACCTGAATGTCCACATCAGAGCATGCCACATTCCAAGAGCCAAGAATGTGATAGCAGATGCACTATCCTGTCAAACGCAGCCATTCTCAACAGACTGGATGCTACATCCAGAGATCTTCAAGCAGATCATACAAGAGATGGGAGCACCATTAATAGACCTCTTCGCCACAAGGGTCAACTGATAACATTCGTCTCACCAATACCAGATCCACGGGCATGGGCAACGGACACGCTAAGCATCTCCTGGCAAGGACTAAACGATTGCGCGTTTCCACCACCAGCTCTAATACCCAGGGTGTTGCAGAAAATCAGTCAGACGAGAGACCTCCAACTACTTGGGGCGCGCCTTACTGCCCAGCGAGAATATGGTTCCCTATTCTCATACAAGACCTAGGACTGCCTCTACTGCAACTACCAGAGTGGGCCGAATCTACTAGTACATCCTCACACAAAGCAGGCGCACGGCAACCCAGAGGTGTTCCGGCTACACGTGTGGACTGTATCAAGGCATGCTTGAACAAGTGAGGATTTTCCGCCAGAGCAGCGACAGCAGTCACACTAGCTTTACGCCAAGTCTACACGCCTAACTTGTACGCGGCGACAAGTGGCGACGCTTCGAGACATACGCTTCGAGGACCGGCTTCACAGCCATGAAAGCGACACATCCTCAAGTGGCGGACTACCTTTGTCACCTAGACAAACGAAGCGGTTAAAAGGGTCAACACTCTCAACATACCTAGCAGCATTGAGGTCACTTATCGCCATGAGGACGAGTGCAACTGACGAAAGTACCAGAGTTACTGGCCTTACTACGCCCTTTTAATTGGAGGACCAACAACAGAGATTTAAAGCTCCGGTGTGGGACCTCAACGTAGTTCTACGACATCTCACTAGTGACATCTACGAACCATTATAGAGAACATCATTCGAGTTCTTGACGCAGAAGACGCTGTTCCTGATAACCTTAGCAACAGCAGCAAGGATGTCGGAAATACATGCTCTGGACTTCGAGAGAACACAATTTGATTAAAATCAAAACATCGTGCATATGGCACTGAGATGGGACTTCATAGCGAAGAATTAACTGCCAGGTCATCCAGCCAGACAGTTCCACGTCCCAACACTATCATCAGTCCTTGGACCACAGGATACGCAGGACCTATCCTTGTGCCCAGTGAGAGCATTGAAAGACTACCTACAAAGATCCAGGTCCAGGAGACGGAAATTCTAGTGTCTTTTCGTCTCGATATCGACAGCAATACAGACGGAGGTCTTCTGCACTAAGATATCAAGCTGGATCAGAACTGTCATACTACGGGCCTACAAAGCAGCAGGATTTGATCCTCCAAGAGCCTCCAACCCACATGAAGTTAGAGGTCTGGCATCAACGCTCGCTCTACATGGGAATCGCTCTATCAGGACGATAATGGAGGGCTGCTTCTGGAAATGGGACATGGTGTTTGCCAACCACTACCTGAGGGACATCGCCACTGAGGACGGCTCTGGCATTCACCATTTCGGCCCACTTGTTGTAGCACAACAATTGACAGTCCCACAAAGGCCCTGAGACGGAGTCTCGCCCTTTTATCACATGACTTGCAAAAGCCTACACTCAGGAGAGTTCAACTTTAGAGTCTATATGCACGTCTAGGACAGACTAGCATAAGTGATATGACCCAGTACTTGTAAGGACATACTCATTACAGGAAAGGGTCGGCTTCTCCACTTGATGCTCGCATCAAGAGATGGAGTTGCAAAATCCACATGAAATGTTAACAGAAACAAGGACCAAAAGTTAACAATTGTGGTCCCCATCAGAGAAAGCTGGAAGTGAAGGGTTACAGCAGCAGCAGAGCCTAGCAGTAAAAGAAGTGCTACCATGAAGTTCCCATAGGGGTTTGCAAGGCGTAAATCACTACATGAAATCCAGAAGTAGTTTGACCCACCACCAAATCCGTCGGATTCTACAAGCAAAAGATCATGAGTCAGGATAAGGAAAAATATGTAATTTTCTGAATAAAATTGATATTTTATACTTATCCTGACTCATGAGGTAAGCCCTCCCAACCTCCCCGCTAGACACTTTGGATTTCCCTGTAAATTAAAGTGTCGGGCTCATAATTCGGAGAGAGTAAAGCATGGGAGTACGGTGGCGCCACTTTCCCGCCAAAATGGCCACACAGATAACTCGTGGTGAGTAGGGATTTTACGTCTGTTCTTTATTGAAGGGAGCTTCAATAGGAGATACAAGTGTTCCACTAACGTTCGCAAGAGGAAGGAGACAAGCAAAAGAGCATGAGTCAGGATAAGTATAAAATATCAATTTTATTCAGAAAATTACGTAATTAGCTGAGCTGTAGTAGTTATTTGCTTTATTCAACGTCACACGCACAACTAAGGTATTTCGTCGATGAGGTAATAAACTTATTAAGAAATGAGGGGAACAAAAAATAGAAATTTTGCAAGAGTGGTGTTACTACACACAAAAAAACCAAAAAAACTGAGTATCAAGGGAAATTTGAATGCAGGTTTCGAAATACCCCATGTATTAGCGTGCCATGGCACGGTAAATATCGAAATGGCACAGATAAAAAATGTTCTTGGTGCCCTTATGGCACGCCTAATTTGTTAGAGACATAGCTCACCTTTAGTCATTTAATCCCCAAACAAAACACTTAAGCAAATGACAAACAAGCAAACATTTATTGACTTTTACGCCCAGGAAATCACTGGAATTATGATGGATGATATAAAGAAATCTGGTTGTTTTTCCATTTAGAGTGTTGGGAGTACTGATAGTTCGGTTAGTGAAGAGGAAATTGTGTATGTTAGACATATTGAAAAAAGTGAACCTCTCACATGATTCTTAGCTATTAAAAGTGATGGGAAAGCAGAACAAATGAAAAATAAAATAGTCATCTTAAACAGAAGCCATATCAATGAGAACGGAAAACTGGTTACATTTGTTGGTTTGTGACAATAAATTGCAAAAGATCATCATCCTTGCTACAGTCATTGATTCTAAAAACATGTGGGCACACTTGATTTCTGAAAGGCACACCTAAAATATTTGCCTGGTGCCCTAAGGCACACTTAGAAGAAAAAAAAGTATTTCTATCCCTGGAATGGGAGGCCGAATTAAAAAGGTAAAAAATATGAAATAGGTAAAGAGTAATATAGATTTGGAAATTACTGTTGATGTAGTGTTGTAAATGGTTATTGTTATTGTTTTTACAACCAGCCCATGGTAGCTGAGCCATGCTGTTCCCCCCCCCCCCCCTATTTAATTAATGAGCTGACCCAGAGTCACTACAGAGTATAGTAACAACACACTCCTATCTCCAGTGCCCAAATCACATTACTAATCAGAATAGAACCGAAATGTTTTTCTCCAAAATCACATATAGTGACACAGAGAACATACAGCATATTGATACATGTTAAAACATTGAACAAAGTCCAGTTTTGATCAATTTGGCAACTTTAGTGTTATGTCGTGAATAATCACAGGATGTTTTTATTACTTAAGGTGAAAGTGAAATAGTATTTATAAAACAGGATAGAACACGATGTTTTATAATAGTTATTTTTCCCATGACTTTTTTACTGTGACTTTTTTCCGATCACCCTTCTAGATGGCTACCTGTATGCCAAGAGCAAGGTGAAACGAGAAAATGATGATGTTCAAGTGACTTTCTGTTATGTGTTATCTGTGCACTGACAAACATGTGATGTAAAATAGTATATGGTGCTTGGTTTCATATGTTTGATAGGTACATGTATATAAATTATTGTTTTTGATAATATTCACAAGTAAATGTGATCTCGCAAATGTATGTTGGTGTACAGTGAGACCCCGGATATCCCGATATATTCGTTTTTGCGTAAATCGTCCGGATAACTGAATATCCGGATATCTGGATTTCTGTCATCCAGGCTGTGGTGTTGAAACGGTTGCGAGCATACACTTCTGGTTTAAAATCACTTCCAAAACAGCGTGGTCGTTTTGGTTTGCCAATTACAATTAACTCTGTGCCAGATAGGCTTACTAATCACCACCAATACCCTGCTGATCGGTCATTAATCCGGATTAGCAGACCTTGTCTCGTGTCCAGACACGTGGGACACTCGCGCTTCACTTCACACGGTCAGCGGAAGATCAAAGCTTCGTCCGGATGATTTAGCCAGTTGGTTTGCAAAATTTTACGTCCGGAGACGGAAACTGCATATCCGTTATGGACAGTCACTTTTACAGCATAAGAGATTGTCTTTTTTATGAAAATATTTGGATATTTGGGGTCCGGGTATCCAGGGTCTCACTGTACCTATATGTTGATGCAATATGTCTTAATATAAAAATCATAAATCATTATGTGAATTGATAAAACTATAGTTAATGCCTAGTGTTGTATTTTTTATCTGGGCATATACCATTATTATCAAGGGTACAGCTTAACTAAGCCTTATGCAACCAACCATAAAATGTGTTGTTTTAAACGGTCTGTCTTTTGGGAGCTCTGTCTTATGGGAAGATACCCTCCTTGAAATATGTTAGTCAAAAGTCTCTCTACCACTAATTTGTTTTCATTTTGTTTTAAGTATTTTCAAAACTAAATCCCAGATCAGGGAGGAAACGTGAACTGCTGATGGCAACATATGTCAGGCTCGCTGACTTGGTT